CTGAAGGTGTTGCATCGTTAGTCCTAGCTGGGGGCTGAGGGAGGAGGGATGTAAAGCACCATAGCATGTGTGTATAATACAGTAATTATGCCTTGGCTGTAATGCATGGTTTCATTATACTGACCTCAGGGGCAGAGCTGGGAGGGCTGGTATGGTGTCCTCCAGAGTTAGAAAGCCTCATCAGGGAGTGCTGCACAGAGTGTTCTACCTTGCCTCTAATGTCAAGCAGTAAAATCAGGGCACATTATGTGAGACTACACCCTTCTCCCCCCAGTAGGGCCCAGGCCAGCCACGTGATTGTCATCAAAGATACCTGTGACAGAATCCCTACCTTACTATGACATCGCAACCTGTAATGCACTGAGAAATGTAAAGTGGTACGACATGACCGACAGACAATGGTCACTCCACATAGGTATTTCTATTTCCAACGGGGATACACTTTTCCCATAGTAACCATACTCTATTTAAGGGCCTTGCGCAAGCACAGATTACCTCAGTGGGTGCAGCACCCTAGAAGCTCTGTAATACTCCTAAACTGGAAAGCTTGCCTCATATTCCAAAGACGTGCTTCAGTCTGACAACAGCCTACAGAAATCCTTATGCAATACCTTCGCCCCAGACCAGAAAGCAGAACTGGGTCGGTTTCCCCCTGCTTAAAAGCATTGCAGGAGGCACTGATCATGCTCAGTTCTTCCCTATAGCTCAGCATAAGGTAGGTTTTTCCCTTCCCGATTGAAAGTCATCTAAAAAGAGGCCTGAAGACTGCCTCCCACCTGAAAACACCTTTATGAGCTGTGAGCATCAGCCATAGAAAAGAAAGAACAGGTAGCTCCTGTAATGCTGAAGTGTTCCGCTGTTCCTGGAGAACAGTGATCTCAAGTGTCAGAAGAGGAGAGAGCTCCCACAAATGGGTGACCCCTTCCTTCACAACTGCAACTGGGGATGGGGAAACAGCCAACATTTCAGGGATGTGATTATAGGTAGGAGAGCCCGGACTCGCAAATCAGCTGCCCTTCATCAGAGATGAGAGAGACTACCCAATTGCCCCCACCCTCCCCCATGACTTATTTCTTTTAAGCAAAAAGCCAGGCTAATTCTATAGGAACTCCTGGTCTTTGCACAGTACAGTGGAAGGAGAGGTCCCAGACAGACACACATTTGTTGCTGAATAGGACTTTGTGACTATGATACAAAGCAATATGATTGACAAGAACTGAATTCTATATCTAGTAGCCTGGAAAATATTTAATATAGTCAGTAGGAGGGAGTGTGGTGTAGTGTAGTGGATGAGGCACTCAAGTGGGAATCAGGAAACTTGGTTACTGACTGCCTCTGATCTGATCTGGATACACTGGGCAAGTAACTTTACCTCTCTCATAGGCGCCGACTTTCCCTCTTTCACGTGGGTGCTCAACCCCCCCTTTTGCCCCGCCCCCACTCCACCCCTTCCATGAGGCCCCGCCCTGCCCCGCCTCTTCCCACCCCTTCCCCGCCCCTATTCCAACTCCTTCCCCAAATCCCCACCCCGGCCCCGCCTCCTCCCCTGAGCACGCCATGTTCCCGCTCCTCCCCCCCTTCCCAGAGTGTGCTAGCGCTGCCAAACAGCTGTTTGGTGGCGGCCAGGCGGGAAGCGCTGGGAGGTAGGTGGAGGAGTGGGGACGCGGCGCGCTTGGGGGGGGAAGAGGAGGTGGGGCGGGGGGTGAGGGGAGCTTGGCTGCCAGTGGGTGCAGAGCACCCACTAATTTTTTCCCGTGGGTGCTCCAGCCCCGGAGCACCCACGGAGTCGGCGCCTATGACCTCTCTGTGCCTCAGTTTCCACACCTGTAAAATACAATCCCTTACAGCTTTTTTATGAAACACTTGGGAGATTCTACGGATGGAAAGTATCTCTATAATGATAGTCTATGTGTTCCTCTGAAGCCTAGAATGTCTATTCAGTCAGTGTGAAGCAATGAAAGGAGCTACAAGCTTGACTGAGAGCTCTTTTTGTTCAGAATATCAGCAGGCTGAATCTTCACTGGGTTTCACAGTCCGTTACCATCCATTTTTAAAGTTCTCAGCCATTTTGAATTTTACAGATTACTCCCATGAGGTGTACAGCTACAGTAAGGCATGTATCTATGCCATGCTGAGAGTCTTAGACCATTGTGATATCACAGGTAACTCAAGTAGTCACCAATCTCACCCTACAGCTAATTTGCATGCATCATTTTCATTGGTTGTATGAGGGAGACTGCACAGATGGTGGATTACTGGGCCCAACTGCCATCCACACAAATCAACACAAGTCTCTTAGCACAACATCCCCAAACACAAATCAACACAAACCAGCCTACGTAATAACTCCAAATATGACTCTGAAGGCTAGCCTGTCTGTTGAGTCAGTGTGAAGGTATGGAAACAGCTAAAAGTACAGTTGAGAGTTCTTTACCCTCTTTTTGTTCAGAATATCATCAGGCTGAATTATCACTTGGATTCACTATCTGTCACCACGCAATTTTTAAGTTCTCGGCAATTTTTGGCTTTTTTTCCCCACACATACATGATTCTACAAATTATACCCATTATTCAGCTACTAGTGATTATTAAAAACCTGGACAACAGTTTTAGCTGAGCTGTACATTCACAAAGAGCAATCCCACCCACCAGCCAACTGGAATACTTTTTCTCTGTTCAGGTCACTGCATACTTTACAATGTGATATTCCCTATGAGCCAGTGGTTGAATTCCAACCTCTTCCCATGCTAGAGTATCACTAAAGATTATGCATGTCCCTTTTTGCAGAGCATTGTACCTGTAGTCTCACTTTTCCTGCATATTTATTGCAGTTTTTAAAATGTGATTAACAATGTAAGTGCACACACCTGAATTTTAAAGATATAAGAAAAACAGCATGATTTTGGATCTTAGTTATGTATCAGAGTAAGGAATATACACAGAAACCATAGGCACCTGAAGCCAAATTTTCCTCTCAGTTACACTGGAGTAAGCACATGGAAGTCAGTGGGCTTGCTCTGGTGTCAAAGAGAAGAGAGTTTGGTTCTTGGTCTCTTAATTTTTTCTTTTGCAAGCGATATTCAGTTTGGGGTGGCAGTGATTATCACTCCAGAGTGAGGTTATGTTCCCTTGGTATAACTGCCAGCATTAGTTGCATCACGGTCTTAGAAGTGCATAAATCATCTTATTAAGCATGTACAGGTCTTGGAAATGCAAGACAAATAAATATGGGATGAAACAAAAAACAAATGCACAGAATATAAAGTTCTGGTCAGAATGGAACAAATCCTCATTTACTGTTTTGTACACACATGGGTAAACACTCACTTGTTGAATCAAATCCTCTTATGGATCATTTCACAGCTGAACAATGCTCTATAGCAGTGGTTCTCAAACTTTTTTTTTTTGTGTGCAGACCACTTGAAAATTGCTGAGGGTCTCAGAGGACCACTTGATGATCTTTCTAAATGTTGTTTGTACCATAGCTAACTATTGTACAGCACTTTGGATAAAAGTGCTATATAAAAAAAACTTAATAATTAACTTTTTTTTGTTCTACAAATAAAAGCACATAACTCAGATTTTAATATCAGTAGTCTTATCTTTCTAATGCGATGGATGTACCCTCTCTCCCCCACTGGGGCTGGGAATGAGGGGCTCTCTCCCGCCACAGAGCTGAGGCTGGGAAGGAGGGGCCGTCTCCCTCCCGGCAGCCGCAGCCCTGCAACTGGGGAAAGTTGCCTCTTTCTCTGGCTGCCACAGCCCTGAGCATCCCAAATCCGCCCCCCCATTTTCACCCCACTGCCCCCTCCTACCTACCTCCTAATCCCCCCAAGGCCACCACCTCACCTTACATGTGCGTCTTCTCCAGGGTCCAGGCACTTAATTACTGGAGCCACACCTGTGCGGCTCCACTAATTAGGTGGGTGGCCCTTCATTCTCTCATGTGCGACCGCCCAGGCATGCACCGTAGAGGGAACTAACCATGCACCACCTGAATGGAGCTCATGGACCAGTTTGACAACCTCTGCTCTATAGTAAAGATTTGGACTAACCAATGCAGTGTTGTGCAGGCAAAGTTGACCTACTCTTATTACTGTTGATAGGCTGAATATATTCATTTTTACAGAAAACCACAGCTTTAAAACAAAAAAGCCAACCAAAACTTTAAAACAAATATCCAGCACTAAGCACACAGCCTCTTCTTCACTATTTCTAAACATTGCTCTCAGATTGTTATAGCTTATGGAATTCTTCAAGGTACAATGGGAAAACGAATACACTGCATTTATTTCAATACATACCTACATCTTATTCAAACAGCTAATTATCTAGGCATGATACAGTCCTCTTGATGTAGAAAGCATCTCCATGAAAGCAGCTGTGAATAGATGGTCACAAATGTCTGTTTCCAAGGCAACACTATCCCTCCCTGCCCCCCCTCCTCTAACCTCCTCTATTGTGATAGGGGAAAACCAAAATGAAAGTGGAGGGGAGACAACAAATTGCATGCTGCATCCTAGCAAATATCAATCCAAAACGTACAACAAATGCAAAATTGTGAAAGAAATCTAGATATTTATATTTAGGGCAAGGTCCATGGTATTTGTAGTTTCCATGGAAACACTAAGGAGAAAAGAAAGAGCATGTTGCATGGCACAAAGGGAGCCAATATGTAAGAGGAAAATTCTAGTCAGCTTCAGCTTTTTCAAGCAAAATGATTAAATATAGTAAAAATATTGAAACCAAGGTACCGCACAAATGGAGAAAAGAAAAAGGAAAAATGATCAGAGTATTTCTTTCCTATGAGCCTGCAAACCTGCTGCTCGCCTCTAACCACATGCTGCTCACATAAACACTTCATTGTAGCCTGCTCCTTTCTGTCCTTTGACTCTCTGCACTCAATGTCTTCGTGCTTTTTTAAAAGAAATCTAGCCAAGTAAAGAAGAAGCAAATGTAAAGTTCTTTGGAAGTAGCATGAATAATATCAGATCACATACCTTGAGCCTGCCAGAGCTTGACATGTGTGCTTAGAAACCAGAGACAGAAAGGGAGAGAGAGAGGCTGAGACTCAGAAATTGCCACTAGTTTGCATGAGCTGTAAGTCAGCCAACACTGGAAAGAAAGCCAGACTCCACCCTGGGGTGGTCCATAAAAAAAAAAAATGTGGTTCTCAGATGACGTCTCTCCCCACCACATGTCACTTCCTTTTAAAGCTACAATTCAGCAGTTAAGGCGAGATGGCTACTTACTGGTGTACTATGACTCACCCCTTCCCCCAGCAAGTAGTAGAAGGAAGTGGTTCATGTTTGAAAACACATTGCTACAGAAACCTCCTGCCGGAATCCAAACAAAAGCCTATTGTATATCACTTTTTTTCTATCCCTTTAATCCCGTTGCTTCCATTTACAGAGAAAACTTTATCTTTCTTCCCATGCTAGCAGTGGTTTTAGTGCCATGTCCTAAACACGTTGGCTAAATTACATCATTATTAATTGAAAAGGAATATGATCAATTTGCATTATGCAATGCAATAGCTGCATCTTTTCCTCCTCTAAGTTATAAGAAGCACAGGAGATGCAACAGTTGAGGCAGAAAAGCAAATATACAGGTGACTAAGACTTTTTAGAAGAATACTATATTAAAATATAAGCACAGCTGATCTGATACAATTATACTTTTTCAGTACACTGAGCGTTTTTTAATGAGAACAAGTGCTGCTAGTCATACTGTACCTGTTGTGTCCTCATATGCTGATTAGAGGCTGCGTGTTCGATCTAGAGCATGGGAATTGAACATCTGGGCTCAATCCGGTAAGAATTCTGGTGAGTCTTTCAGTTGGCATGGAGAGAGTTTGACACCTGGCATAAATGCTCAGTGCCATGCAGAACTCTAAAGGAGCTAATGTTGTATAAAGAGTGGATCTGAGACGAGCTGAACAGGTGGCCATATGATCAATATAAACATCCTATAGGACAGATAAGAGATGTCAATAGAGTTATTGGGGGAGGAAACCCCCAGAATACCTATTACTTTAATAAAGGGGTGGAGGCTCAACTAATCTGGACGCAACAACAAAAAATTTCAGATACCAGGTTTCCAAATACTGAATATTCTGACACACAATACTCACCATCTGTGAAACCAAAACATTTACTGTCAGTCTTTTACCGTTGAGAGGAAAGCAGATTTTATGAATGAACACAATGAGAACGAGCAAGAATACACAAAACGGTAACATGAAAAAGTAAAGCATGTTTTAACATCAATACAGAGTTCCAAACGCAATGAGCTCAAATTGTGAAACATATAATACAGTCTTTAATTACATGATCCCATCTATAAGGAAATTTATCTCACTCACCTGAAAATTATCATTCTGGTAGGGGGAGGGGTCCATAAATTCAGTAGGGATGGATTTTTCAGTCCCCCCCATACTGCAGGAGGCAGAGGCAGATGTTTTTGATTGTCTAGGCTGACTCTCCAGATAACTCCTCCCATTGAAGAGCCCCTCCACAGAGTCGCTTCCAAAGCTGGTGTGAAAGTGAAACAAATTATATTAAAGAAATAGAATGAATTAAAGAATGCTGTATGTACCTTTAAGTAGAAATGAGAAATGCTGCAATCCAGGTGTCAGGAAAGCAGACATTAACTGTTAATCAATTGCTCCATTTAAGAGCGATTGGTGAAACATTAGCCTTAGATCGATAAGAGTTAATAAGGAAGCAGGATATGCATATTGTGCCCCAGACAAATTTTACAATTTGCTCTCTCTGTCCCTTTGTTTAGTTCGCACCCTTTTATCTGTATAAATAAGACTGTTTGAATCTTGCATGGGGGCTCACATTATCTGAATGTATTAGCAGAGCACTGTACTAATAAAACAGAGGGGTCTGACAAACTATGAGTCCTGAGTCTAACTTTGACACTGGTAACTATCATATATGAATAAAACACTGTTTCAAAATGCATTAACAGATAACACTGCCCAACACTAAGAAGTAGTAATTGTCCTTCAGCACATCAATTAAATATAAGAACACAGTTTTCCATCATGAAACACTATTGAAAATTAATCTCCCAAAAGAAGGAAATGAAAAGTACAGGATGGGATGAATTTATGGACCCATCCTCCTACCAGAACAGAAATGTTCAGGTCAGACAGATTTTGTCATTTTTACTCTGGGGGATGGGTCCATAAATTCAGTAGTGATGCGATTTTTGTAGCCGTATCCACCCTCGCTTCCAGTCACTATCAATTGTTGGGTGGACTACAAGTGAGCTACACCTTGCAGAACCCTGCTTCTGAAGGCTGCTTCATCTCACTGAAGTCTATCATTCTTATACAATTTAGAGAACATACGCAGGGATGGCCAAGTTGCGGCCCTGAAAATTTGTTCATATGGTGTATTGGACCTGTTGGCCCATGTAGCCTGCCAGTGCCCTTGTGGAATGGCCTCTAATCTGGAATGGAGGTATTTCTCCCTTGGCTTTATATGCCTAAGAGATTCCCCACTTAATATATCTTGCCATGGAGGGCCTGGAACCTTTCAGTCCCCTAACCTATTAGACATTTTCTGTAAGAGGACTCCAACTCTTTGGTTCTTTTCAGTTTTGGGGGATGTCAGATAGCAGAGACTCAGTATAAGCAAGTGCTGCTCTCTCAAAAAATAAAAAAGCGGCCAACACTAAAGCTCTGAGGATTGCTGAAGCATTTTCATAGACCCCTGCGGAGGGCTGATTCCACCCTTCTGTCAATGATATCTTTCGATGGGAAGTACAGTCCCCTTAACAAGGGTTGACAAGGCTGCATCCATTTGAGGAAAAGCAATCACGAATGCTTTCGAGTGATGGATGTTATAGAATTTTTTGGCTCATTTGATCTGATGCTTGGCCTTCGCTTGGTTTTCTCATTCCTCTTTGCAGCCTTAAGCAGGACAGCAAGGATGGGTACATAAGGGTGAGTTTTACAGCCTGCTGGCAAATATTTTCAAGTGTTTTCTGTCCCTTTGACCTCCTTATCCCCACCCTCTTTTTCAACCATCTTGGCTGAAAGCTTAGGGGAGATACCAAAGAAAGCAACTGCCTTTCTCAGAATATATGTTGAAAAACTGTGCAGGGAGCAAGAGTTCTTGATGAGCCTCTTGGGTTTCCTCCACTTTGGATTGTGAAAGAATATCCTGTTCTGAGGAAGAGGGTGGAGTGTCTAGACCAGGGGTGGGCAAACTACGGCCCGTGGGCCGTGTCCAGCCCGTCAGACCTTTTAATCTGGCCCTCGAGCTCCCACCGGGGAGCAGGGTCAGGGGCTTTCCTTGCTCCAGCCGGGGAGCAGAGTCGGGGGCTTGCCCCGCTCCGCACAGCTCCCAAAAGCAGCAGCATGTCCCTACTCTGGCTCCTACACAGAGGGGCAGCCATGGGGCTCTGCATGCTGCACCCGCCCCAAGCGCCACCCCCTCAGCTCCCATTGGCCACTGCAGAGGTGGCACCTGCAGACAGCATCGCGCAGAGCCACCTGGCGGGTGCTGCACCTCCACATAGGAGCCGGAGGGGGGACATGCCGCTGCTTCTGGGAGCTGCTTGTGGTAAGTGCCACCTGGAGCCTGCACCCCTGACCTCCTCCTACACCCCAGCCCCCTGCCCCAGCCCTGATCCCTCTCCTGCACCCCAAACCCCTCATCCTCAGCCCTACCCCAGAACCCACACCTCCAGCTGGAGCCCTCACCCCCTCCTGCATCCCAACCCCCTGCCCGAGCCTGGAGCCCCCTGCCGCACTCTGAATGCTTCATATCTGGCCCCACCCCAGAGCCTGCACCCCAACCCCCAATTTGGTGAGCATTCATGGCCCGCCATACAATTTCCATACCCAGATGTGGCCCTCAGGCCAAAATGTTTGCCCACCCCTGGTCTAGACATAAAGGATTTCTTTGCTTTATGTCTGCATTTGTGACCACTACTTCACATAGGAGGAGGACTAGCAGGAGAGAAGGCTGAGGATTTGGAGTCATAAGAGTCCAAGGCAAAACATCTGTGCCTATGCTTTCTACCCTTATGTCTTCCCCTGGGTCTGATCACCTCATAGGGAGAGGAGGAGGAGGCAGCGATGGTGGAAAACAGCTCCTCAGATGAGTTCTCTCTCCTATGACTGTGTGGGGATCTGTCCCTGTACTTTTTAATCCTTTTTCCTGCCTCACCTGGGCTCCAGACTGGAGAAGAGGGAAGCGAAAGAGAAATAGCCTCTATGCCCACATTTCCTCGCGTCATGTTTTTTCCATTGGACGCCACTGGGAGGACTGTAAGATGGTTGCTGAGGAGGCAGTGCCAGGAGCTGTCCTAAAATGGCTGCCTGTGGAATGCGTGCTCCCAGCTCCAAAATAGCCACTGTGACCCTGCTATGATGGGAAGAGGGAGCATTGGCAGGAAACTGATTCCTCTGTGACTCCAGCGATTCTTGGGACCCCTGAGGAATGAAGGGGGTGCCCTGACTGTAGCATGCCCATTGGCAGGTAGCCCCTTGTCGCAGTGCTTTGGTTGGTAGGAAAATGATGGGAGTTTTGGGGGGTTTAACTGCATTGATTCTGCTGACTGGAGCTTCTGAGGTCTCCACGCTTCTGCCAGAGATAGGGCCTGGCCTGTGTCAGTGGCTGCGGATTGAGCCCCCACTGTCCTGAGCCCATTTTTCAGAAGCTTGATTTTCTGGGCCTCTCTTTTGTCCACAGCCACCTGTTGTGGGTGGCTGGCAGCCTGCTTACTAACCACAGTACCACCACACTGGCGGAGCAAAAGGAACACTTTTTCCCCTTCGATACACTCGGCCCAGGGTGCTGAGCACAGGGTACAGACAGGGCCGGACTGAGGGTTAGGCAACTTAGGAACGTACCTAACGCCCTATTTTGTGGGGAGCCCAAACTGAGTTCCAGCTGGTCTGGTTCAGGGATGGGTGCAGGAGCTGGCCCCAGAGCAGTGATGAGGAGGAACAGTGCTAGCTGCCCACTTCCCCCTCAGATTTGGCTCCACCAGTCCTCTGTCATGACAGGGTGGGGTTGAGGGGTAATGGGGCTAAAACTAAGCAAGCAGTGTTATGAC